AATAAAATTCATTGACACAGTGTTAGCTTCCAACCACCTCAAATTATTTAGGAATCTCATTTTTTGTTGAAGGGGATGCTTTCCTTTGTGGGAAAAAATAAAGTCTCCCATGCATCTGTATGTTCATGTTAAAACTAATACGCTGGTTTTCTGTTGGAAAATTTGATCATATCATGTGACAACTAAGCATTTCTATAGGAAAACAAACAAAAAATAAAAACAGCTTAACCAGATAGAAAAACCTAGAATCAAATTCCAACACTTGAATTGAAATGATGACTTTCTCTGTTTCCCAACTTGAAACTGCTGGAGTACATGAGGGCAATGAAGCCACTGGTTAGATTTAGGGCATACTGATGCAAATAATACACACAAGTACATTGAAGTTCCACCTCTCAGTTAACTTTGAAAAGGAAAACCTTATAACTAAGTATAGCAGATTGAGAAAGGATGTAATATAAGCACCAAATATGTGGTATTTCTCTGCATTAGAAAAAAAGTATAAAAAGTAATATTATATTTTAAATTATAAATCTGAAGGAAATGAATACACACACTCACTTCAGATGACAAGAAAATGGAATATAAATTTCAAAACCGCTAGGTAGTGTATCAACTATGCTACAATAAAAAACTAAAATTAAAAAAAAAAAACCTTCAGGTAATACAGAATTTTGTGATTATAGAAATTTTCCATATCTGAGCTGTCTGATAGAGCATTTACTAGCCACAAGTGGCTACTGAGCACCTCAAATATGGTTAGCGGGAACGAAAACTTGAATCTTAAATTGCGTTTAATTAAATTACTGTAAATTTGGCCACATGTATCTGGGACTGTAACATTGGACAGTGCAGCACTAAAGAAGTAGAGAGAAATATTTGTACCTTAAATTCTGATTCAAATAGTAAAAGTCTTGTACATGGGCATATACCTAGGTGTTTCTGAGACAGTTTTTTTTTTTTTTTTAAATGCTTGTGACGTATGAAGAGAAAAGGACTATGACACAACATAAAAGTGATGCTGCATTTGTGGGGACAAATTTTCTATACTCATTTTCTAGACAGGACTAGAATATTGGTTTAAAAGTTGGCTCCAAGTTGTAATTTTCTTAGGGGGCTTCCAAAAATATGGATGCCCGGGTCTCATCCCCCCAACCTTCTGGTTTAATTGGTTTGGGTTGGGTCCTGGGCATAAAAATTTTTAAAGCTACCCTGGTGATTCCAACATGCAGCCAGAGTTGAGTACTACTAAACTAGAAAGAAAATGAGAAAATGTTTATTAGGCATAGATGCAGTATGCAACTTAAGACATTTCTTTGCTGGTAGGCAAAGACGGCCTTTGACAACCAAAATTTACGTCAAAACACCTGAGGGTTAAATATGAGCTACACATTCTAAACATTCAGAAGTGACTTGGGTTATACAATCATAAATTTTTATCAGTGAATAGTATTCAATTATGTAAAAGAGATTAGAAGCAAAGGAAATAAACGAAATATTGAGTGTCAACTTGCCTTTGCCACTTTCATGTATATTTTATTTCATCCTCAACCTAACTTGGGAGGTAGATATTACTAATTTGCTTAACGATGTGGAAAGTAGATTTAAAGATATTCTCTAGGATTGGATATATGTTTGTCAAACAGTAAAGTCCACACTCCACAGTAGAAGGATTCTCTCTGGGGAAGTTTGTTTCAGTAAAATTTCACACTGGAATCAAACAAAAAAAAGGAAAAGAGAAAGAAAGAAAAAGGAGGATTCAGTGGTGGAACACAGGATATAAGGCAAACACACTAAAACAGGTACTTTAACCAGTCTGGGTTCCTGCATTATCCAGGTATCTGATAGCAAACCCTGGGAAAAACAGGTTTGTCTGTGGTTCAAATCTACACCAGCCTCTACACCAGACCATTTAGGAGTAGCTGCCTTTTATCCTAAGAAGTTAAACCATTGGTCTCCTACTGCCTCATAAGCTATTTGGTAGAGTCACACATTCTTCGGACAGGATAGAACAAGATGCTTATTCACAGCTAGCTGCCTGACACTAAACAGGGATAAGACAGGAGTTTTAAAGAGTTTTTCATTTTACCCCCTCCACTTAAAGGATTATTGGAACTCCCCACAGAGCATGTTATAGACCACAGTTTTGATATGGTATATTTACTCTGAGCATAGAACTTTTATTTTAACCTAGGCCATGAAAGTCTTACATTAATTTACTCATTAAAAGCCATCTATTAAAAATTCCTGAGTTGTTCAACCCATTTTAATTTTCAATTTAAGGGAGAAAGTTTCTCAGAGAAAAAAAAAAAAAAAAGGTAAACCCAGAGCAACAAACCCCGCACACCCTACATATCAGGACTCATCCTTCTATCCTGAGACTCAGTGTCTTTTCTCCTTTTTCAGGCTCCCACTCTGTAAAGTGACATTAACACAATGGTGTCACATTTAGTTACATCTGAGGTTAGAAAGAATATCTTCAGTCACTGATACAATTAATGGCACAGACTTCTCCCAAAGCATATTCCAAAATAGGAATACATAGATAGGATTAACTCCTAAATGCACTGGCTTAGGGAATGGTAGTGTTTCATTTCAATTTCAAATGGTATTTATTACTATTTAATTATACTACCAAAAAAAGTTTCATAATTCAAAATTACAAACTCTTGTCAAAAAAGAGGAAGCAGCAGCAGTAGCTTATCCCTACTAGCCCTTTTCTCCCCAGTATGTTTCAGGACCTGGAAAAAAAAAATACTAAGTTGATATAAGAAAAGCTATGATGTTTCCCCCATCCAATCCTTAGCTGATTAAAAGTGGACTAAAACAAGGATTAGACTTGTTTTTTCTTAATAATAAACAATACATAAACTCCATTTTTAAAAAGAATGATACCTATTATCTACACAGAAACAACTGATTAGCCAATTCTCACATTTACTTCCTGCATTGGAGGCAGGCCTCCAGAAAAAGACAATGTAAGTTCTACAAATTTTGATCCCTATTATAGTGCCCAAATTCATCCTTTAAATTGGCACTCGTTTAACAGTTTGTGTATGTGTTACTTGTGACATGAAAAGCTATATATAAATATTTTTGGATGTTAGTAATCACCCTCCAAAAACTAAGTAGGCTTTACATGCAGTAAACATTTGGTGGCACAAATGTAAATTCAAAAAGGCAAACCTAAAAACATGGCAAAAGTCATAATTCTCTAATTGTAAAAGTGAAAGTCATTACAAATTAATCTTTTCTTTCTTAATAAGTAACCACAGATATTTTTCTAGCCTTAATTCCAGCTTCCATCTTACCTTCTCCCCCACACATACTCCCACAAAGCCTCTAGAACATCAAAGTTAGGACACAATGTTATTATGAAAAGTAGAATACATTTAGGATTGGCTAATAGAGCAGTTAGTCTGCCTGTGTATGCAACTAGTGAACCAATACAAGCATAGAGTTAATAAAAAATACTAATGATATTAAAAGAAGAAATAATGTTTATCAAAGCACCACCACGGGCAAGCAGTAAGCATGATGCAAGTTTTCACTTTGATCCTGCTAACCCAGTCATCACGAATTTGGGAAAATACCAACCCTTGTTTCAAAATACAGCGACTTTTCTGTATTTTCCAATCCTTAGCAAAACTCTACAGACGTAAATTTTTAAGTCTTGCTAATTAGTTACCAGTGCCCTTCATCCCGAAGATTAGTTGTCCTACATTTTGTTTAGGTCTCCGCCTTGAAAACAAACCCGATTGCCCCATTTTCTGAGAGGTAAACTCAGCTCCAGGCAGCTCCCTATGAAGTCACCGCGTTTGTTGTTTCAAAGATGCAATTAAACGAACATGACACAAGGCTGTCGAAGAGATTAGTTGGAAGTGTGTGGAGGTGTCAATCACATATGTGGAAGACCAATGAAAACTGTATTGCTACAAATCTATTTTAGTTGTAACATTTCTCCCCATTCCCCCTTCTCCAATATATTCACAACGTAGGGCAATTAAACTTGGTGAGAACTTACTCGACTTTAGCAAACTTTAGCTTTCCAGCTTTCTGTACTTAGAATCCAGCAATGAGCAAAGGCGGGGTGGGGGTGGGGGTGGGGGACTTAACCCAGGCACCGAGAAGAAAAGCAATAAAAGAGCTTGCATCAGGCAGTGTCTCTCCCTCTGCCCCTCTTCCTCCCTTCCCACCCCCTCTTCTCTAAGCCCTTACATATACACATTCTTCTGGGCGGCCTCTAACCACAGCATGTCCACAGTCATTTACAGAAATTAGAAACAGACTCCGGGATCCCTTCCCATAGCACGCACAGCGCAGAGCTGCGCTAGCAGGATGGGGCGATGTCACTCCCTACTACCTCGCAATCTCTTACTCCCCCTCTGGGGTTTCATTCCCAAGAATCCGGCCTTCCTCCACGGAGAAGGTGGGGGAAAATTCACAGTGAAATTCCTAATTCACAATGAAATTCCGTCTCATCCTTCCCCACCCAGCACCTCACCGCGAAAACCAAAGAAAAGTTCCTTCCCCACCAGGGCAACAGAGGAGTTGGTTTCAGGGGCCAGAGCAAGAGCTGGGAGAGGAGAGGGAGCGTGGTGTACTTGGTTTTGCACTTCTGCGTGTCCACACCAGAGCCCAGGGCTGCTCTCGTCCTTACCCGCTCGTCCGGAGACCCGTCCTGCTACTGGAGCGCGAGGCGAGGGCTGAGGGGACGCGGCGTCGGGGCGGGCCGCCGGCAGCAGCCTCGGGCGTCGAGAGCCACCACCTCTTCTCCGCCGAGCGGCTGCGGGCGTGAGCCGAAGGAGCTGAAGAAGGAGCCTGGGGAGGGGGAGAAGAGGAGCAGCATCTCCTCCTCCTCCACGCCTCGGAAACGCCCCTCCAGCGGCGACCCCCGCCGACCGCCTGACCCCCGAGCGCTGGAGTTCCCCGTCCGCCCTCCCAGGCACTGCGCGCCTCCCAGAGCTACGCCCAGACTCTCCTTAGCGGGGCGGCTCAACTCCTGCGGCCGGCTCCGAGAGCTGCCGGGCGGGCTGAGGCGGACCGGGGAGCGAGGGACTGCCGCGCGCCAGCGAGACCGTCTCTAGGGGCCGTAATCATGGTGCGTGACCCTCGCCGCACCGCAGCCGCCGGAGCCACTAGCTCCCAGCCCCGGCTCCACCTCAGGCACCCGCGCCGGCCCCGCCCCCGTTCCTGTCACTCAAAAGCCTTCCCGGGCTCCAGGAGGACAGCAATGGGCGCCCGGGCGCTTCCCTCCTCCTCATTGGCCCTCCGGGCCTCCCGTTCCGCCCCCTCCCTAGGGACGAGGTCGCCGGGGAGACCGGCGCCCCGGTTCCCATGACAACCGGTGCCCAGGGCCTGGCTTTTAGAGTTCTGGCTAACTAGACGCTCAGGTTGGTCGCGGGGCAGCGAAGTTCCTATCCCCTGCAGTGCGGACTCCTAATTTCAGGCCACGTTGAGAACGCGGCCGACCGCCCCACGCTTCCAGCTTCAGAAACAGAACTTTATGGCCCTAGGGAGAGTGAGGGAGCGTGAAAAATGTCTAACTGCTTGCTCTTCCCCTGTGAATCTAAGTAACCCCTCCCCCCCTTGTCCTCCCTGGCCTCCAGCCTTGTTTCCATATTCTCACCGGGTGGATTTGGGCTTTCAAAGGGTGAGGAGAAGAGGGAAGAGAGAGAAAGAGCAGGGCTGTGCCAGCTCCTTGCAGTAATATAGCAACTTGGAAATGGCGAGGTCAACGAAAACAGCTCGGTGAGTTTAACCACACTTGTAAAGTGATCTTCAAAGGTGTGCTGGCAGCACTTCGTCAACCCCAGATGCCCTCGGGGAAACGCAAATACTCATATTTTTGAAATAAGGATGTAAATTCTTCTGTTAAAATTCCTCTGAAACTAAGATGATCCTAAAGTTAAAAAAATTAAGTAAAAGATTCGACGTAAACAAATAAAATAAAGAATACCCATTTTTCCATATAGCGCTACCCATTGCCACTTGGCAAATTTATGTCCTAGCAGCTATCGCCCTCCTGCACACAGAAAGATTTGGCTTTCCATGATCAACAAGAAAGTCTTCCCGGATTCATGAGCAAACAATATCTTGTCATTTGAGTTTCAAAAGTTTGAATTTACTTTCAGAGGATAAGGTAAACTATTCCACTCTGGACAGGGGACCTGAGGTTAAACGTAGTTCTGGGCTGACGGTGTTGAGTCCTAGGTGAATCTAAACTTCATGGCTGCTCCAAAATGGAGAGATCTGAGGTAAAATTAAAACTGCAATTCTAGGTTCCCTAGCCCCTGAGGCTGCTGTACATGTATGATGAATGAGGGAATTAATAGTAATGATTTACCTTTGGCGAGCACTTGACTTTTCATTATCTCATTTACTAAATGAATAACTGTGATGGATGTGTTTAGTCAAATATGCCTTGCAAGTATGCACTGAATGTAATTACTCACACTGCTAAATACAATGGAAAATGCACAGCAAAATTTTAAGATAAGGCCCTTGCCCTCAGGGAGCTAACCACAGAGCCTAAGAAAGAAAAGTAGCATTCTTGAAACAATTTGAGATTATGGCTAGAATGTGCAGCCAAACTTTGAGCACAGTAGCAGATGAAAGAAAGTCTGTGATAGGTTGAATGGGCTGGATTAGTCATATTAAGGAGCTGGGCTCTGAAGAAGGGTAGGTGGTGGGATGAACGAAGCACAGATGAGAAAAGACAGGCAATCCAAGGAAACATTAAACCAGGTGCAACAGCAGGAATAGAGAGTGGTGGTAGTAAATAATAGTGAGAAGACCAGCCCAGTTGAACTAGAGAAAGAAGTGAAGGATTGGAGTTGGAGCCCCCATTTTCTGAAATAGGAGTTTTTGGGTGTTCTGGTTCACGTATGACAGAGCTGAGGTAGAACATGTGCCTCTGTTTGTCACTGAAAGAAAGTTCATATATTTATTAGAAAGAAAAGCAAATCCATAATACTTGGAATAGCTTGCAAATTCAAGTCAAAAAGAAAATATGAAGAGTACAGTGTTGATAGTGTTGGAAATTTTCTCAAAAGTAGACAAACCAGTGTTGTGAGTATTGTTTTTTTTTTTTTTTCCCCCTCCATTAAGGCCATTTCAGGTGGTTACCCTCAAGGCTTTTTCACCAGTAATCCTTCTGCTTTGCATGAGGTAAAAAGTTGGTTTTAAAATAAATGGCTATGATACTAAAACCTGATGAAGAGTTTAAAGAGTACACAATAGAGAAATCTACAAGTTAATCTCCTTTTGGATATAATGTAAAATTAAAATGCATACTTAAGATACACTTAGACCCCAGAAGTATGTTAAAAATCCTATTGCAAAATCAAGATAATTATGCCAGGTACATAAGAATGAATCAGTAATAGAAAACTTACTCATTTTGTTGGCTATATTAATATGTCAGGGAAGAAAAAAACCTATATGAGTGTTTCAGTTGATGATGAAATGGATTTTGTAAAATCCAACATCATTCCTTAATAAAAACTTTTAAAGAATTTAGGATACATACTTTAACAATATATATTTTATACCCAATCCAGAAGCTTCCTTTATAATGGAACAATTATTCTCATTAAACATGGCAAGAATGCTCATCATCATACCATGAAAGGATATGATAGCCAATCCAATGAGACATGGAATAGGAATACAAAATTAAATACTGAACATAAGTCAGGGTTGTCATTTACTTGCAAAAAGTATAAAAACTCCAAGGATCAGTTGAAAAACTTTTACAGGCCATGAAAGGTGAGTTAAGTTAACCAGTTTTAAAAATTAACATACAAAATGAAGAGTTTTCCCATGTACAAATTGTAACCAATTAGAACATACACCATATAAAAAAAATCCTATTTATAATGACCACAGTGAAATAGCTAGAAATGAGTACTAAAAGAAATTAATAAAACTTACTTTTTTAAAAATAAAACTTACTTTAAAAATGAATTTATGAGACAAAAATGTTTGAATAAATAAGGGATAGGGGCACCTGGGTAGCTCACTTGGTTGAGCATCTGACTCTGATCTCAGCTCAGGTTGTGAGTTCAAGCCCTGTGTTGGGTCCACTCTGGGTATGAACTTACTAAAGAAAAGAAAGAAAGAAAGAGAAAGAATAAATAAATAAATAAATAAATAAATAAATAAATAAATAAAATCTTTTAAAAAAATACATGTATCTAGTTATATGGCAATATTTATACCAACTACTATTTCTCTGAGGATTAGAATTACAGTAAACATTGCATTTCTGAAATGTTTTTATTTAAAATCTTTACAACATGTGCCTGTCACTTTTGTTATAGAAAGTCTAGGGTGTTAAGAAGACAAACTGCCAGCTATAAAATAAATAAGTCATGTGGATGTAATGTACACAGTCAGACTGCACTTAATAATACTGTATTGTATATTTGAGAATTGCTGAGAGTAGATCTTAAAAGTTTTCATCACAAGAAAAAAACTTTTTTGTAAATTAATGAAATTGAAACGAAACAAGAAATTGAGTTCCTCAGTCCCGCTACACACAAGTGGCTTGTGGCTGCTGAATGGAAGAGCACAGACACAGAACGTTTCCATTATCACTAGAAGTCCTTTTGGACAATGCTACCTTAGAGGCTAGCATAGCTGATTTTTCTCTTAAAGACTAAGTAAAAATGATTTCTCTTTTGCCAGCTTCTATAAACAAACAAAAGGGTCAACAGATTATCACTACTAACATAAAGAAACTAAATAGCTGGTCTTAACACATATTTAATTGGGCTCCCAAGTAGCTCATGGACCTCAGAACACTCATCACTTAGAGACCAACCTTGCATCACACTCTAAGTCAGGAACATTTTATGTGGGGCCCACGGATCGCCCCGTAATGGACTCCTTGAGATTGTATTCCAGGTATGTGTGTTTGTGCAGTTATCTAGGGAAAGCATCTGTACATTTCAACGCATTCGAAAAGGGGTTTATATCTTTCCAAAAGGTTGAGATTGTGTGCTTTAAATGCCAATGGTTTAAAAATACCACCTTTACCTTGAAGATTGAAATGAATTCTAAGCTAATCTAAGTCTGTAAATAGCCATGTTTTCCCAGCTGGCTTCTTGTGTTCATCTCAATGTGAAATATTTGTATTCAGGCTTGTACCAACTATGTTCGTGTTTTTCCTCCTTTAAGCCCAGAAACACATTACCCCACCCCCACTTTTTTTTTTTTTTTTTTTTTTTTGCTTACAGAGTAAGGACTGTGATGGGAACTTTGCCCAGGGGAGAAGCAGAAACAAGATAAGTAATCCACCAAAACATGAGCAGGTAATTGGAGCACAAAGTCTGGCAGTGCTTAAGGAAGACTTGGTGACATGGTACTGACACTTTCAAGCGAACCAAGAATTGGCTGGGGAAAAAATGCAGCAATGGAAACCAGATTGGACTACAATTACCCTCAGGTCCATTGAATAAACAGGTTGTTTTCTTTTGGTGGTAGCTGAACTCTAGAATGTGAGAACTCCCCTAGGATGTAGAGTTACATGACAGCAATGGCACAGATAACTCTAAATGTTGGGAGGTGGCCTGGTAGTTCAGTAAATGAAAGAGCACGGCATTTGCACTCAAAAGACCTATGTGCAAATCTTGACAAGTCACTTCTCTTCTTTGAGTGTCATTTTCCTCATTCATAAAGTGAAGGAAATAAGAATAGCTGATATGTCTCACACAGAATAGCCTGTAATGTTCTTTCAGTATTCAACAGGATAACGTGAAATCTGTGTGTGAAAACTGTAAAGTGCTGTTTAAGAAAATCAAAGAACAATAAGAACAAAGGTATGCAGATTTTTGGTATTAGTTCTAGACTTACTGAGAAATTTTTTTTTTTTAAATAGTGTCTTTCATTCTGACAAGAAACTTTAAAAAATATCTATCAGGTACCAGGGCTCACTAGTCCCATGAAAGGTTAAGTCAGAAAAAATTGACTGTGGTGCTCCTATAACTTCCACTCTTCTTTACCAACAATTCTTAGCTCTTTTCCAATTTACCCCTCCTGGCCCCAGATTGACCAGGATTTGTTAGTCTCTCTGATAGGGCTGGCGGCATGTTAGGCTAAAAAAACCATCACCCACTCCTGCGTTTGCCAGTTGTTTAATGGCTCTGCCTGAGCCAAAACATTTCCTGAATGCCTTGGCTAGAAACTCTCCCTTTTAGCCACTAACGAGTTAAACTGCAAAGGTGTTAACTTTAGAATGTGGAAGTTAAAATTCACTTTACCTTCCAGCTTTCTCTCTTAGCACTTCAGTATGGATTGGTTTATCAGATTAGGTAGTTGTCACGTAAAACCCCAGGGGTGAGAGATACTGGAGCTGTAAACTGTAATTAATGAAGGGGAAGAAGGAAAGAGGGAAGCTAGTTTCAGTGTTAGTGGAAGAGAAAGAGAGAGTGAGAGAGAAGGATTTGCCGGGGGAGAGGTGTGTGCTATGAGGGTGACCGGCAGGGTGATGATACCAAGGGAGGGGATCAGGAAAGTACGCGTAGTACTAAAGGGGTGTGGCGCAGAAGTCAAACTGCCTAATTCTCAATTTTTACTAGGGCTGGTCCTGTCTCTGACTCATTTCTACTACTTGTCCTGGCAAGTTATGTAACTGCCTATTCAGTTTGGTTGAAGGGAGTATGGCAAATAACCGCAACCCTTCTGTTTTTTGAAACTAAGCTGTGTTTGAACATACACAAAGAAATTTAATAAGAACATGCTGTCATCTAAATCTGACCTATAGGGACTTGCCTTAGGGTTCATGACTTCTAATCTTGATTTTCTTAGGTGTTCCCAGAAATGGAGACCAAATCAGAAATTAAGCTTTCCAGTATAAGTTGTGTTTTAAAGAGGGTGATTTCACACTGTCTGGTGCAAGTGAGCTGCTGTGCAAGAAAGTTGATCATTAAAGGCTTTATTAGGCCGAGTCGGAGTGTTTAATAAAACAAAGCATCACTTTGTAAAAATTTCTTAAAAGTTGATTGATTCTTGGGGTGCCTGGGTGGCTCAGTGGGTTACAGCCTTTGCCTTCAGCTCAGGTCATGATTCCAGGGTCCTGGGATCGAGCCCCACATCGGGCTCTCTGCTCGGCGGGGAGCCTGCTTCTCCCTCTCTCTCTCTGCCTGCCTCTCTGCCTACTTGTGATCTCTGTCTGTCAAATAAATAAATAAAATCTTAAAAAAAAAAAAGTTGATAGTTGATAGATTCTTACATCTTCTCCTGGAATGTCTAACAGAAAACAGAGGTGAAAAAATAGTCTTATCTGCAGACACTAATGATCAATTTAGGGCTAAATCCTGAGCTAGGATACTCCTATAAACTGGAGAAATGCTGAACCTGCCACATTTTACAACCACAGAAGAGGAAACTTCTTAGAGAGTTGAAGCTGTTAGGATGAGTAGTTCTTTAGTTTACTTTAAAGTTAGAGAATGAGGGGCGCCTGGGTGGCTCAGTGGGTTAAACCTCTGCTTTCGCTCAGGTCATGATCTCAGGGTCCTGGGATTGAGCCCCGAATCGAGCCCCGCATTGGGCTGTCTGCTCAACAGGGGGAGCCTGCTTCCCCCTCTCTCTCTGCCTGCCTCTCTGCCTACTTGTGATCTCTCCGTCAAATAAATAAATAAGATCTTAAAAAAAAATAAAGTTAGAGAACGATTAAAAATTATACATATGCAAATTAAGTATTTTATTTTTACCAAGAGCCTATTACTATACATTCATTTAGCCAATCTCTTGATGTTGGGCCAAGGCTTTTCTGACCATAAATCTGCTGTTGAGAGGTGTAGGTTCTCATTTTTACAGAAACCTTGCATAAATGCAAAATGTTCAATTTTCTGGTTTCGTTTTTGTTAAAGGAAATGTAGAACTTGAGGACACTTGTGTCATATATTCCAGTTTTTTTTGCCTCTGGTAATTCATGGCAGTAACTTGTCTTTCCATAGCATTCAACTTCATTTTTTAAAAAATTGTGGTAGGGACACCTGGGTGGCTCAGTCGGTTGGGCAACTGCCTTCGGCTCGGGTCATGATCCCAAGGTCCTGGGATCGAGCCCCGCATTGGGCTCCTGCTCAGTGGGGAGCCTGCTTCTCCCTCTCCCTCTGCTGTTCTGCCTGCTTGTGCTCTCTTGCTCTCTCTGTCAAGTAAATAAATAAAATCTTTAAAAAAAAAATTGTGGTAAAATATACATAACCCAAAATTCACTACTTTAAGTGTTTTTAAATTTCAACTTTATTTTCACTTTGCACTTTGCACTTAATAAAGTATATAAAAATTAAATTACCTAATTACATTAGCAAGAATAATTCACATTAAGAATTTGGGAAATTAAAACTTTTTTTAAAAGATTTATTTATTTTAGAGAGAGCAAGAGAACCCACGTGCACACATGATCTGGTTGGGGGCTGATGGTGGAGGGGTAGAAGGGGAGGGAGAAAAAGAATCCTTAAGCAGGCTCTCCACTTGGTGCTCAGCCCGATGTGAGACTTGATCCCAGGACATGAGATCATGACCTGAACCAAAATCAAGAGTCAGCCGCTTAACCAACGGAGCCATGCAGGTGCCCCTAAAAAAACTGATTTTTATGTAAGCTTCAGAAGGTCACAATTTTAGTCTGTTTTATTCACTGGTGTGTCCCTGCCTCCTAGAATAGAACCTGTCACAGCATGGACACTCAGATACTATTAAGGGAATGAATGAATGGCTACTGGTAGTTATAACTCAGCTGGAGGAAGCATAAATGTGCAGGTATGCTATGATATAGCCCATTAATAAACTTTCAGTGGCTACGGACATCAGTTTTTTTTATAGGGGGAATGGAGAACATTGGTTAATCTTATGGTTTGTCTAAATGAAGGTCATTTAATAAAACTGTTTTCTTTCTTTCTTTTTTTTTTTTTTTTTTGGACTGAACTTTTCTTTAGTAGAGTTATTTTATTATGAAAAATCCCAATACGGTGTTTAACACAATATCTTATACGCAATAAGTTTCAGAAGATATTAATCTTTGTGGATTGTTGGTTGATCTTTTTATTCTTGTTACTCTGCTGAGGGAAGGGGAGAGAGAAAGGGGTGAGGACAAATCGAAGAGATATTAATATTGCATATATACTCTTGGAGTGTGGAGGGGAAAAGAGACTTTTCTATTCTCTCAAAACAGTTACTGAACTTTGCCATTAATATAAACTCAAAGAATAATGAACTCTCTTCCCTTTGATCAGAGAATATACTCCAATTACTCAGTTTTCAATAAATATTCCCTTGCTTCATTGTAGTTTGAGTGATCCTCCATTCGCTTGTCCAGTTCTCTGATGCGGAAGTCTTCTCAGTACCATCAATGGCAACTTGAATTAGATGAAGAGTTAAAGTATCTATCATCCAAAAGTATGTTAGCTAAAAATCACTGTCTTTAAAATTCTCACCAGCTTGGCCCATAGACTGGATGGATTCCGGTTATATTACTAACACAGATTGACCCCCATCTTCTTCCATACATAGGACCCCTAGACTCCTGAAAATGTAGGCTACCTCCCATACTTCCAGTATTCTCCAGGTGATGTTTTACATGTGTTCTGTAATGTTTGACTTTGTGCTTATACTCAAACTCCTCCTGAAAATCTAATGCCTGAACATCATTTGCAGTAGTGTGCTTGCTTGTACCCTCCATGAGACAATCAGTATTAGTGTCAAGGAGATCATCTCTCAGTGCTCCTGAAGCTGTCAACAATGAGCCAGAGCTGGGCTGGGCTCAACTGCCAAATTAAGGCCACCATTGTGCCATACTTGGTCACGTGATTCTCGAAGCAACACTGCTTATGTTCATTATATCACCATGTCTCTGATGAGGGGCACCTGGGTGGCTCAGTTAGTTAATCCTCTGCCTTTGGCTCAGGTCATGATCCCAGGGTCTTGGGATTGAGCTCCACATTGGGCTCCTAGCTTAGGGGAGTCTGCTTTTCCCTCTCCCTGCTATTCATGCATTCTCTGTTCACTCGCTCGCTCTCGCTCTCTCTTTCTCAAAAAAATAGATACAATCTTAAAAAAATCATTTAAAAGGGCACCTGGGTGGCTCAGTGGGTTAAGCCGCTGCCTTCGGCTCAGGTCACGATCTCAGGGTCCTGGGATCGAGTCCCGCATCGGGCTCTTTGCTCAGCAGGGAGCCTGCTTCCCTCTCTCCCTCTTCGCCTGCCTCTTTGTCTACTTGTGATCTCTCTCTGTCAAATAAATAAATGAAATCTTAAAAAAAAAAAAAAGCTAAAGACTAGCTCAAGCAGTCTTTTAAAAAAAAATCATTTAAAAA